CCAAGCATACTCCGTGATATCAACTGGAAACCTATTGGAATCGCATGCTAGCAGTAAGATCAATCTAAATAGAGAGATAGAGAAAGAAGCTGGCGGCCACATTCCATACTTTAGTGTTTAGTCCATCGCAGAATCTATGTTCAACGCTACACCAAACAGCGCCCATGGCTCTTTGCTGAGACATCGTACTTTCTGTCGAATGTAAGTCAATAATCGAAGCAATCTAAGCCAGCATGCCTAATCAGAATCGCGTTCGTTAGCTAAAGCCGGAAACCTCATCATCTTAAATAGGACGTAGAAACTATCGATGCCAAGGTCGTGGTACGTTTACTTTTTGCTCAAATTGGTCACCTCAGCAGGAGAGGTGAAGCAATTCAGTCGCACCGTTACTATTAACCATTAAGATACAAGAGTCCGGAAATCAAACACAAGTAATCTGGGGTTAAGGCTTAAACACATAAGAATTGTCATTATCTTGTTGCTTAATGTCAACTCCAGTCCCATCTGACATTCGTCCTGAGTGTGGTCCAAATACCAAGGTATAGTCATTTCAGTATCACAAAGGGGTCCAATATTCACGATTTAGAAGTCTCGGTAACCCATAGTAAACAGTTCCAAGTCTAGCTGAAAATGTTTCTCCTCATTGCTTCAATGTGCAATCACGTCAGTCCGTTTGCTAATTTCGGCGTGGTGAATCATCTACGTGATCGATGAGCATGTAAGCCATGGTCATATTCCATCACGGCTTCTATCTTGGGGATAATTTTGTCCTGAAGTATAAAATAGATGTCATATTTAGTAAAACTCATTATCGATCAGACAACAATGGAACACACTGAGGCTGAGCGTGAAGGCTGTTTAAGTGTTTATGGATAGCGGCCTTTCTTCTAGTATTTGGATGGAAATCGTAAACGGTTCAATAAGCTAACCACGGTTGGTCAGAAACTGAACCTCTTTGCGCCACCAAAGAACCATTTTTCAACTGGATTTAAAAAGGCACAGTACTAACTTACGCAGATAAGGTATCTAGACCAGTCAGTCCCGAGCTACTACCTAGCCGACAACAATAGTAACAACATACATATCAAAGAGGATAAATCAAAACACTTGCATTATTTAGCTAGGATGATTATTATCAACAAGCCGCTATTGTTCAAATTTGGCATTAACCTACGTAACTTGACATTCTGCGCCCCCCCCCACATCGAAACAGGCATACAAATAGAAATCTTCAACGAGTCTGCAGTCAAACAACGACTGCATTGAACGCATCATTTCGATATACAAATAACCAGTGTTACAGATTTGCTCCTGTCACCAAAGTGCTGAGATTGGCATGTGTTGCGTTTGATTCAGGGGATGTATCATAGAAACGCCTGTCCCTAACCATCTACGGTCCTTCCGGAGTTGTTGACATACAGCTGAAAACGTCGGGGATGGTAGTTGTGAAGGTAGCCAAAAACGTCACTGGGATTTGTTTAAAATTACCTTAATTAACAACAGATCCATAAAATGTGATTGCAAGACTGAAGCATAAAGTTTTGCAGCAGCATAAGAACAGCAAGCAATTTCGGCGAAATAATCGGAACTCAATAAATCTTGTTTAAATGCAAATCACTATGACAAATTGAGGGTGTCGCGATGGGCAGGCCACGTAGCCCCATCATGAAAACGCCAAATTGTGTCAGTCGATACACGAAGCACACTTGTACGCCCGATAAACTGATGATACCTTTGGGGTGATGGACGATGCCTAGTTCTTGGAACTCATGTCGCAACGTTTACTGGATGGCATTCTGAGATACATTTCACCATGGAAAGAGAAAGATCAGAAAAGTTTCACTTCCTGGAGTAAGTCCGATAGCTCGCTCCTAAGAGCAACTTGTCACAAACCGAGCTGGACATGGCAATACCTAAACTTCAATACCTATTGCTTCATGAACCCCAAGCGCTCTTTGGTTCGTGTCTCTTTTGTGAGAACCCGCCACAACTGTCTAGGAAAAGCGATTGCGGGAGAATTATATGATGTCGCGTCCGCCCTAACTGAAAATGGTTATCCTGACAAATTTATTGCCAGATATAAAAAATGTGCTGCAGTAAAAACAGACTGAAGTCTCAAAGATGAAGGTATTCATCACACTACCTTATTAGAAGGAACAAAATGATAGACATCTTGGTAATCACTTACGTCATACCATAAATAGGTGCTATTAGACAGCTTAACAGAACTAAAAAGATGCTACACGAATCCAACTTATACAGGCTTCACTCAAATGCTTTTGTCTCCTGTGCTCCCCAGTTTAACCGTACTTATGGTAGCGTGTACATTGGCTGAACAGTGAGGAAGTTGTCCACACAGATTTCAAAACACATTTCGCGAAATCCAGCTATCAATGGTGCCACAGTACCTGCTAGCTCCGTTGTCTAGCAATTACTCGACGGCTCAGTGAGCTAAAACCCGCGCGAGACATTCAAGGTCATTAACAAAGAGCAATTCAAAGCTGTCACGTTTTGCTGTGTTTTCGGCCATTCGGCTTTTGGAAACAACCTGAGTTTGTGACTAATCTTGCTTTGTGCTGGTAGGGTGCGACTGCCTCCCTGGCACAACTACCCATGGATTTCTGGTATTGGCCTGTTATTCCCAATCATTTGCAGTTTTCACCACGTATATGTTAACGACCGATGAGAATACACAAAAAGTCCTGAATTCAGCTTATTCCGCTGAAAATGTGGATTGAATTTGCAGTTTTGAAATTTCTTGAAGGGAAATGGGAATCTGGCAAATGCTTAAAACGTCACCGGGACTGAGTCTTACTGTGCTCAAACTAAAATTAGGTCCAGATACTCCGCATGATCTGCGATCTGTTGGTTTGTTGCTACGAAAATCAGGCAATTCTATACCAATTACGAGGAAATGTTTCTGTCAACCTACTCAGTCGATGGTATACACATCCTTAGGATTTTGTCTAGCAATGTGCATTCGTTGCCTCATTAGGCTGGTTCATTTACTCTAGGAACACCAATGCACCTTTTGTTTGTCCATGTATATATTTTCATTTTCCATTATGCAAGTTTTGGTGTCTGCAACTGACAAGGTGAAGCGTCGAAAGCGCTCCCATCCGGATATACAAAGCTTACCTTGTCTTCATTTTACTTGTCATGGTGACTACAAAAGCCGAGGAATGCTGTGATCCATCCACACTATAGCATCTTGTTGCCAATACCTACATAGAGACCGCATCTTGCAGATAGTTAAGCAATAAGTCACGGTGTTACACACCAACCACGAAACTACGGCATCTTGAGGAGGGTGCACAAATGGTTTGGCTCTCCTAGGTTACCATAACGGTCTAACACGTACGTGAAATCAAGCGTGGAGTATGCAACCAAGGCCAGGTAGGCGGTTGCTACCCCCGAGACTACCAGGTACACGACGACTGAAAATGTCACTGTGAACATTTCGACTAGAGAACCTGGGAGCACAGAGGGAATACTATGGCTATCTACGGGTTGGTCTAAAACTGGTGCGCAAGATGCTGAATGGTCGGAACACAAAACTCAGCAGGTATCAGCCAACTTCGCAACCCTGAAGCGCTCATCCTACCTAGGTTGTTGCTATACCCATGGTAATGACCGTTAACAATGTCTTGATGACGCATCTAGGATTCTACAGTGCACTATATAATCTGCGTCCGTCAACAAATGACATAACGCGTAGGTCCGGGGCGGTTTGTTGTTTAATTAAACCACTTAGTGAGTCATCCATGTGCGATTTATCCTGTTGGCAACGTTTATTTCTTATGTTAAGGCTTTCGCCCCAGTAGTTCATAAGCTACGTAGCACAGCCTAGTCCGGCAAAGCACCAGACGCGTTTCCCCCTATTGGGGCTCGTCAGCGGTGCGCATTCCCTCGGTCCTCTAAGGAGGATCGAACCCATGACCGCTAAAGGCAGATGCCAAGTAGCCAGCAACTTAAGCCACTGAGCCATACGGGATATTGGCTAGGCTACGCAAATTGCAAGCTATCTTCCACTGTCACTGACAATTAGCCTGCGAGGTGATGTCCTCTCACTAGACGCTATATCCATAACGTTTGAAACTACTCGCGAGTAGTATAAAAAATAAATAGCCTCTCCTGGTTTCAAAATGCTGTGGATATAGCGTCTAGTGAGAGGTCATCACCTCGCAGGCTAACTAATTTCAGTGACTGTAGAAGATAGGTGGTGCTGTATCCAACTTAGTTTGCAAATTATGTAGCCTAGCCAATGTCCCCTATGGTTCAGTGGCTTAAGCTGTTGGCTAGTTGGCATCTGCCTCTAGCGATCATGGATTCGATCCCCAGTAGGGGATGTGCTATGTAGCTTGTGAGCTACTGGGATGAAAGCCTTAACAAAATTACAACTACAAGCCAGCTACTCGCGAGTTATATAACGTTTGGTGATCTTCGATACTTCATGTGCTAGATGCCTTGTGAGATCTGTTAAGCATTCACTTTATGACTAGTAACCTAACACTTCCATCTTTCACTTGGTATAATCTCAGCTGAATGAACACATGGTGTATTTTGGCCGAGCGTGAACCTCAATACTTGTGTCCCGTCATTGTATTATGACGCTTGATTTGAGGAACATTCGAACCCCTACTCCTACTAGGCAGTAATTTAAGTTACCGCAAATGGATAGGAAACAACATGCCGTGCTTTCAATCAAGTTGAGTGGCACCGATCAACTACTACGGATTCGCATGGACTGCAGAGCTAAGGACGTTTTCAACTTATATTTATGCGCACCAGATAAATCATGTGAACGCATTGACCTTAGATCTCGTTAGTTAGCCTGCAAGTTAACCGCTGATTTCTTATGTTCATGATGCCTCAACTGTGTCACACATGCACCGGAACACAGCACTTCGACAAGTAAATTGTTTTGGATTATTTTTTGGCGTACATAAATATTGAATAAAACAGAGAAACAATTTTTTTTATCTTGTCTCTCTTCACAGGCTCACAATGTACTATCAATGCCTCCGACATCCGACGCATGAACGATGTAGAATAACAGGAGCTTCCAGTCGATTGGTAGTCAGCGCAATCCTGATAATCATGTCATGCGCTACTCTGAGATTCAACCGGTTTGTGTAAACATAATTGAGCATCCAATAACTTGTGCATATCTTGCAACTACTGTGTTAAGCCTCGGTGCACACCAGTTAACTAAGATCTACTGGGGGACCGCTATTGTTACTTTCAGTAATGTGGGATTGATAAACAAGTGCCTACTAAATATATCGTACGAATAAGAGAGTTGTCTTAAGTGCACGACGAGGTGTATTGATCGCATCAATGTACTTACATGAGATGTTAGCTTTTGTATTGAGATGAAAATGCGTGGTAACGATGTTCATCGGTGGTAACTTGTGGAGAAAAGCTCGGCTGCGTTTTAAAGTGAAGGTGGACAGGCCGTATGCACCAACCGGAAGTGAATAGCTATCGAACAAAGCCGACTCACGTATCGAAGCTTAAGATCTTTATCTTCCGGAAACTGCCCTGATGGTAGGTGATTTGCGCAGGCCACATCGTCTACCGCAGGGATGTCCAATATCATTCCAACTGGCCTGCGACCTCATCATGAAGTAACCCCAAGATTGGATTTGTTGTACAGACGACATAGTTAAACTACTAAACATTCAGTTTGTGAGTACAAAATTCAATGGCAAACATCAATGCTGTAGCATTGTTTATTTCTAACCAACTAAAAAAAGTCAATGTAGTGCTCTTACTAAAGGGTTTCAAATAAATAAACTTTAAAAAGGTCAGTTCGTAAATGTGGATACACTAACCAGTTTGTTGCGGTCAAGATCCCAGTTTCATCGTTCATATTAAAAACCTGCACGTAAAAATCCAGGACATAGGTCATTTTTGATTAATATCTAAATGTCAGGCTGAATATAGCCCGACAAATTTGGCGTTACTTGCGAAAACTTTGAACACCCCTGACCTACAGCCTGTCAATGACCCATGGTGGCACCGACCAACCGCACATGGACATAAGCGAAACAGTGTTTAGCAGGATTTACACGAAAAAAATTCTATATGGTGCAGGTTCCGCTAGATAAATTATGGCACTATATAAGTCTACCATTACCCACGGCTTAATTCCCAGGACAAAAAGAAACGAAACTCGACGTAGTGAAAATTGTAAACATGGTTCTATAACACTAAAGTTAAGTGTAGCTAAATAACCTACGATTAGGTTCGTAGACGTAGCCTTAATGCTACTCAACAACGAGTCAAAACAATTCCAGCAATTCCAGCCATTAGTTAACAAGGTGCAGGGGTGAGACGGAGAGAAACTGCCAGGACGTCCACGGTGTAGTACGTGATGACGAGCAATTAGGGTAGTGCTTCAGTTAACCACCGTCATGTGAATGAACAAATGTCACGGTCGTGCATTAGAATCCACTTTCCCTTGCCCAAAAGGTATAAGGAAAGCAAATTAAAACGTTTGCCCAGGCTGATGTGTAGAAAATGGGGAATCACAAATCGCAACCTTGTAGTTTGGGAACTTGTAATTCAAATGAGGTCCCTCGTTAATAACTTCAGCCACTTATGCTTGGATGTCAAACAGGGAGAACGGCTACATTCCGAGAATATACTGCTCACTGACATCACTTGTCCGCCTGGGCTGGCTACAATCAGATATCATATAATTTGAACGAAATCGTTATGGATTCATCCGCTAACATTACTAAGGTCATCTCGTTCCATTTATAATGCAGCACCGATCGTCATGTCTCAGTTGCTTAGTAGCCATAAACTATTTTCAGTTTTACCTCCGAAAGGAACTCTGCAATGAGATTAAAGTGCAAATCTACTGTTAGAGAGTCAACCGCTGTACATTTCCATTGGCATCCTACTTACAACTTCGGCGCTTTGAGAACGCATATAATTTATGCAATTCATAAACAAAATGTATGACAACAAAGTCCACATGACATTAGTCGAACGGGCGACTTGTTCATCGTGGGATATTTCCGCAAGTAAATCATAGTGAGATCATGTGGTTCCCATGCGAAAGAATTTAATTGTTTTGTGTCAGTCATCTAGGCACAACCGACTTATGCGACAAAAACTTCAACGGAAGTACAGCATAAGAACGTTGGAAGCCTCGTTGCAAGAAACGAGATCGTTTATTTAACTAACGAAGCTTCTGCATTTCGGAGCTGCTTCCTTTGCTTCCTTCAAACAAACACCGATGCAACCAAATACTAGCCGATCAGCTTAGTGGGGGTAGATCCGTAGGTAAGCAATCATCTGCTCTGTTTGCTTGCGACAATCTATCCACTTTATTCGTCGTATAAAGCTGTCTGGTTCTCTTGATTCCACAATCCCACCACATCCCTCTTTTTATGTGCTTTGCCAAATTAGTGTCGCAGTAGACTCTTTGGACCCTTCTGTTCCGGGTGGTCTTTGCTGCCCCTCCTTTATGATCTCCCCGTAAGCCGTTAAGTGTCTTGTTTCAGAAACACCTTGTTACCGGTGCTACCTCAGCTACATCTGGCTCTTTCTGATTATCTTCTATCCGACACTGACTTCATGAGATCTTTCTTGGACCATCGCAGTCAGTACACATTTTTTCCATCGCCCGTAGACACCCGGTATTTGTTGAACCCACATCTTCTCGATTACTGCTAGCCCAGGTAGCGCCCGGATGCTGCGGTCTTCATACCGTTCCTTATCTCCCATCCGCTTTCCAAGCTGCTTTACAGCTGTTCATACAACTGCAAAACCAGATGTAAAATTGCAGTAGACACAGGCATTAGCGTTCCTGTCCCTCTACTGTACGCAAGTTGTGCTGGACTAGACCGATGGAACAATAGAATGGAAGGTTAAAAAAACCGAAGATTAACAGATCCCACATGAGGATCAAGGTAAAACTATAAAAGATAGAAAATTTTCAGTAAAATATATAGGTACACACTGGTGAACTTACCGTGGTATTTGTAGTATGAAATGTAAATCCGCGGCAATTCAACTTATGTTCGTTAACGTACATGTATATCCGTTTGCGGCGGGAGAACCTATGGTGCGCTGAGGCTGGTGGTGGCTAGATCCTGACAGATGGTCTACCCACTGCTGCTACTGTCGCGCCATAGTCTCATGTCCTGGGCGCCTCCACGTGGCGACCGCTGGGTGGGAGTTGGGTTTCGCCCTTCTCCCTGCTAAGATCCAGGACACCAATCCGCATGAGTCGGCTAGCTGACCATGTGCTAGACCCGCTGACTTTCGGGTGTATATTTAATCGAAGGCTTTGGCTGAGGACCCGAGTCGTTCTCCAGTCAGGTGTGGGCGCCCTGGCAGTATCCTAGTCCATCTTCTTCGGAGGTTAGGAAGTGATCGATGGCCCTCTTCCCGTAAAACCTAGCCATGGGAGACAACAGGTTTACGGGTTATAAGCTCACACCTCGATTGGCGTAGAGCACGAGTGCCACGCATTGTCTCTGACGGTGGGAGAACACTTCCGGGTGTTCAATGGTTTGCTACTGTCCGCCTCAAGCCAGGCAGCCCCTGGTCAAATTGGTGCAAACCCGCCAAAAACCCACCTGCGTCTGGCCGTGGTCGCAGGTGCGTATCCTACTACGGTCGCAAAACATATAATAATTGTTCCAGTACCTCAAAGACTGCGTCTGACGGCCGTCAAGCAGATCCCCATCTGTCTCTGCATTCACATTCCCGAGCTGGATCTGCTTCCCACTGACTTGTGGGTCAGGCTATTGAACCAAAGGCTCCGGGCGGAGTCCCTCAAGCAAACCTCCACATCAACCACTGCCTTGTGGGTCAGGCTATTGAGCCAAAGGCTCCGGGTGGAGTCCCTCAAGCAAAACACCGAAACACAACGACCACCTCGCGTTTGATTGCCCACCAATGCATCGTATGCCTGCGCGCAAAGCACTCAGCATCGGGTGCTGGAACGTGCGCACGCTACTGGACCGGAACTCCAGCGAGCGCCCGGAGCGACGCACTGCACTGGTCGCGATAGAGCTGGCGCGCTACAACATCGATATTGCGGCGCTCAGTGAAACTCGGCTCGCTGAGCAACGTACGTTGGAGGAAGCAGGTGCTGGCTACACATTCTATTGGGTGGGCAATGCCGCCTCAGCATCACGTGATCATGGGGTCGGATTTGCAATATCCGATCGCCTGAATGGCCAGCTGGTGGGTGAAACAACGGGCATCAGCGCGCGACTGATGACTGTTCGCCTACAACTCGGAAGAGGTAAGTTTGCTACTTTTATAAGCACGTACGGTCCGACCATGTGTTATCCTGCTGACACGCGTGATCAGTTCTACACTGAGCTATCCTCCGTGATACGGTCTGTGCCGAGGAGCGACCGACTATTTCTGCTGGGTGATTTTAACGCTCGCGTTGGGCGTGATGCATCAGCGTGGACAGATGTTATCGGTCCGCATGGCATTGGTTCAGCGAATGCGAACGGTAACAGGCTGCTCTCGCTGTGTGCCACTCACGGCGTGACGAGCACGAACACTCGGTTTGCACTGAGTGCGAGTGATATAGCAACTTGGACGCACCCACGGAGTGGTCACGCTCACCTGCTCGACTATGTCATCGGACCTTAGACTGATATGCATGAAGTGCGCATGACACGTGTACTGCGTGGAGCTGAGTGTGGCACTGATCACAAGTTGGTTCGGACCAAACTGTACATATATTTTCGTAAATCGATGTATTGCACTCCCGCCGTGAATCGGCGTAAATTTAACATTCTCTCCCTCGGTACTGTGGCGAAACGTACTGAGCTGGAGAAGGCGATGACTGCACGCCTGTGTGATGTGGAATGCATAGCCACAGTGGGCGACCTGTGGCACCACATTCGCGATCAGGTGACAACTGCTGCCGAGGAGACCATCGGGCGCGCAAACTGTAAACGGCCTGATTGGTTTGATGACAACAATGCGACGATTGGCGCATTGGTGTCGGAGAAGAATGCAGCATTTGCTGCACATGTTGCAGATCCCAGTGACTTGGGGAAGAGGAGTCAGTTTCGCAAACTTCGACGGCGACTGACCCGAGAGCTCCGTTGCATTAAAAATGCATGGTGGACGGAGAAGGCGAA